CTCCTCCGACGGTGACTCCATGATTCAATGGCAGAACCCTGTTAGGAGAGTGAGTATGTGGATGTTGCAGCCATACTCATGATGTTAGGGAAATGCAGTCAAGACAGTTTCATTTGAGTCTATAGTGAAGACATGGGTCCTTTTCTCCTCCGACGGTGACTCCATGATTCAATGGCAGAACCCTGTTAGGAGAGTATGTGGATGTTGCAGCCATACTCATCATATACTTCCCCACTGTGTCACATGGAGTCCTTGGGAGTGAGCTCTTAGCAGTTACAGAACCATAGAATCTCAGTCATTGAGTCATAAAATCAGAATTCTAGAGTGCACCAGCCCCTTCTCTTCCTGGAAAGAAACCATTGCCTAGAAGACTTACTCTCTTGTCAAATTGCTTATAAACATATAACAAACACAACATTAAACAGATGGTGTGCACGAAATCAAGGCGGATAGGGGAAATTTCACAGGACCCAACCTCAAGATGAAGAGCAACAAGCAATGAATATTGGGTCAGGGTAGTTTAAGAGATTCCCAAAATAATATAAGCTACTGCCTCCAAGAACTTGAAGGGAAGACCCTATTGCTGGAGACAAGACATGGAATAGACACAGGACTTGGAACAATGGAGCTGAAAGTGACCTGGAAGCCACCTTTGTGAAGCCTAGCCCTCATAGTATCAGAGGATACTATGTAAGCTGCCAAGTGAGAAACCCAATCAGTGATCCTACCCAACTCCCAACCGTAAAGACTACAAACCACAATAATGAATAGCCCAGAAAATGATCTCTACTGTTTTAGCAATGGCATTTTTATCTTGGGGGTAATCACTACTTCTGTCACGTTCCTAGACCAAAATAGTTTCTTACTGTACTCTAAATATGCATCCTTATCTCTACAGACAAGTATACCTCACTACTCATCAAAGACACTTTTCATTGCAACAGATCGACGTTATTACAAAGTTCCACTACTGACTAAACATAGAGAATAAGTGATTGTAAGTTGCCTAGCCTTAGTGACACATCTACAATAAGCATATCTCTTAATAGTATAAAAATCAAAAATTAATTGTGACTTTTTTCATTTCTATTGAAGTATAATCAACCAATTTATATATACTCATGATGCTCAGGGTAATGTGTGTGTGTGTGTGTGTGTGTGTGTGTGTAACAATAATGTATGTATCAACTTACATTGTTATCTTTTACCCCTTTTTCCCTATGTTGAGGAACTTATGGGAGGAAAATGCTCCCTTTGCATTTTCCAGTTAAGTAAAACACCATTGGCAAATAAAATATAGGGCTGCTGGTAGTTGTTGCTATAATAGTGAGAATGTTAACTTTTAGAAAGACAAGTAAAGCTGATTCCATTTAAGTCCTTCCTCATTTAGCCTATAGAAATAAGAAATAAAGAAGCATGGAATTTTGTGCTCTATGCTAAACTTTTATATTTTTGTATCTGTTAGGATGATAATGATTAAGGAGGTGAACGATTTCACATCTCCTGTGACATTAAAGTATTTTCTGGAATATTTCCTCATTTGTGGCAACCTTGACATTCTAAAATTTATATTTATTGATATACAGAGTACATTGAAAAACAGATCATAGAATGAGTCCCAATATTGTAAGACAAAAACCCAGCATAGATAAATGAAAAGAATCAGAAAAGCTAACACATGTTAACATTGTCATCTTAGGCAGTAGAATTAGTGAGAATTAGTGTATATTTTCTTAAAGTAAATATATTTAATTATATGATAAAAGGATATACTAATGTGTAATCTTCCCAATATTTAGCAGAAAAAAATTCATATGACTTTAGCATTTTCAGTATACTCTTTATTTTTTGTTTGGCTTTTTTGAGACAAGGTCTCCCTGTAGCCCCAGCTGGCCTGGAACTCAATATGTAGACCAGGCTGGTCTCTACCTCAAAGAAATCCTCCTACCTCTGCCTCCCTAGTGCTGGAATTAATGGTATATACCACCATGCCCAGCTTCTAGTACACTCTTGTAGATACTCACTTGGTCCAAAATATATTTACAATTCCTATTTATTAGCTTCTTAGTTTAAAATATTTAAAAATCTTTTTTATTATGCATTCTTTGGTGATTTCAAACATGAATATACTGTATTTTGATTATATCCATCTTCTAAATTTGTTGACAGTGTAATAATACCTGTTTACAATGCGCTGTGCATAGTCACCTCTGACTACCTCCTCTCATCTCCTCCACTAACCCCCCTGCTGACCTTCTTCCCACTACTCTCCTCCTTCCCTCATGTCCTTCCTTCCTTCCTTCCTTCCTTCCTTCCTTCCTTCCTTCCTCCCTCCCTTCCTTCCTTCCTTCCCACCCCCATGCCCCATGCAAGCAGTCATATTTGCTGTGTCTTCATGATTTCAACTGTCGTGGGTCATGCATAGCTAGGCAACAGCTCCTCACCAAACTCCTGCCCATCTCTCTATTCTGACAGTCCTTCTGTCCACTCTCCTGGGATGTTTCCTGGGTCTTGGGGGGGGTAACACAGGTGCCCCCTCTTCTCAATATCTGTACTGTTGGCATTTGGTCCTATAACTGTCTGTTGTAGGGAGTTCTTGTTTATGAGATATTTATCAGCATCTCTTGCCCATAATTATCATAGACCAACAGTACTTGCCTAGTTGTAACAGCCAAAAAATGTGCCCAGACATTGCCAAATGGTTGAGAAAAATGGCTGTGTAAAAATGATTTGTAGACTATCTCTTATCTCTTGACTATTTTTCTGATAGAACCTGCCTTTATTTCTCACATCCAAACTTCAGAGAAGGTAATTATTGTCACTACAACATTTTTCTATCATGTTTATTCAGGTTAATTTTAACTTATGTCCTTAAAGTACAGTGCCACATTTTGACAGTAAAATGGGTGGGGCAAGTGTATCTTGAAATTCTAAGTAGGTGGGCTGTGGCGTTAGTTCTGTGATGGGACTCTGACATAGTGTGCTCAAAGCCCTGGGCTTCATCCTCAGCACCAAAATAAGCAAGTAAGTAGATAAATGCATAAATATTCTATGCAGAATTGGTAAACCACAAGACACACAGAACAGGGCAGCCGGGATTGCACTGCTGCCATGTGTTGCAAACAGATCACTTGTTTGTGATCCACTATTGTGATTAGTTGGTTATGAAATGGTTACAATATCTTAAGCGTTTCTCCATCTTACATGTTAGTTTGTGAGTAATCTATAGCTATGCCATTGCTTTTATTGCATTTTAAGAGGCTCAGTGGGTGTTTGGGTTATCAAATAGCATATACATGTATGTATATATGTGTATACCTCATATGTATATTCTCCTTTAAAGTGATAACGGAGCTAACTTTGTACAGAATGCCTGACTTGGGGGAGGGGCTGACTTACTAATATTCAGCAGGAGGAAGTTTATACTTTTGTGCTTGGTAGACATTTCAGGGCCCATTTGATTTTGTTTTCTCAGATAAGCTCCAGCTGTCCGTCTCCATGTTTCCACCCGTTTCTCACTTTCAAGCTCCGCACAGATAGACTTTAATATTTCAGGCTATTGACACAGAAAAGAACCATTCCATAGTGATGTGAAACAGCAGTCATTGGGAACAACTACAAATGGTGGTATACTTTGAGTAGAAATGATATTTTCTCTTGCTTTAAAATTGCAGTGGACTACCCTTCTTGACTTCAGCAAGAACACTATCAGTTAAATGCACCAACACTTAGTATGTGCCAACACTAGGCCAAAAGAAATGATATTTTAGCTTCTTCACTAAAGTCATACTTTTGGGTATGTTATTCCATCCCCTCCTAGCAGCCTTGGGAAGCGGGTCTATTATTATACTCTACTTAAAGACAAGGGAACCAATGATTACCTTGATGCTGGTAGGTAAGTGGTGGGGCTGAAGTTTGAATATATCTAAAAGTGGAGCTTCTCATGTTTTGGATTCTGTGCAACAACCACTGTTTTTAAGTTTTCTACGGCTGTATAACTAATTACAAAAATTTAATAGCTTAAAAAAGACGTTTTTTAAAATCTTGTAATTTTTGTGGGTCAGGGGCTGAGTATAATTTTGCTGAGTGCTTCTGCTGATGGTCTCAGACTACTACTGCAAATAAGGTATCCGCCAGGCTGTCTTAACTGGGAACTGGGGAAGGTACTTCCAAACACACACAGGTCATTAGCAGAATCCATTTCTGGTGCTCGTGTGACTAAGAACCCTGGGTCTTGCAGGCTGGAGGTCAGAGGTGACCATAGATCTAGGGGACTCTCAGCCTTTGACTTACTTCTTCAACATAGCTCCTTGCTTCATGAGGCTGGCAAGGAGAATCTCTGACTTGAGCAGGGTGGGGAGGAGGATGGGTTGGAGAGTTTGTGGAGGGATTTGAGCATGCATGATTCAGCTTTTAGATTCTTTTTAAGGGGGAAGGTGTGTGTGTGTGCATGCATGTGTGTGTGCATGCATGTGTGTGTGTGTGCGTGTGTGTGTCTGAATCAAGAGTCAGAAGTCAGAATGCTAGCATGCATGTATAGTTCTAGCCACATCTGCTTGACTGAAGTCACCTTTTCTTTTTCCCCTGAGTTCATTTTGCCTTTGTGCTAATAAATAGTTCTAGCCTGAAGGATTTCTTGGTCTGAATGAAGCAGCGAGTTAAAAATGACTCTAAAATGTCTGGGTCTAGAAACTGAGTTGATAGTCACAGCATTTTTGGAAGACAACCAGGCTGGGGTTGGTGGTGGGGAGGGTTACTGTGTCCTTATGGCATCTTCCATAAGTTTGTGGGCTAGTCACTCCTTCAGTTAACAGCAAAAACAATAGCTTCCAAATTTAAAATAAAGCTAAGCAAGAACAACAACAACAACAACAACAACAACAACAACAAACCCACTAACAAGAAATATACCCTTGAGGATGGAGAGATAACTCAGAGATTAAGAGCACTGGCCATTCTTGCAGAAGATCTTGATTTGAATCCCAGCACTCACATGGTGGCTAACAACTGCCTGTAACTCCAGCTCCAAGGAATCCGATGCCCTCTTCTGACTTCTGCAAGCACGGCATGACACATGTGCACTTAAATGCATGCAGGCATAACACTCATACACACAAAATAAAAATAAAAGAAATACAGCTTGAATAAACTATAGTTTTATTTTTGTTGTTTGGCTTATGGGAAGAAAGAGACTCTAAGATCCTTTACTCACAGACACACACACACAGACACACACACACACACACACACCACTTAAACATTTGCAAATAGGCAAATAGCTGCAAACTTGAAGAGGGAATAGTGAGTGTGCAAATGTAGCTTACAGAGTAGTAGTGGGAGATGTATACAAACACATTAATAAAGCATTAATGTGGCAGATGGTGGCAATTATTATGAAAGAAAACATTCAGGTGAAGGGAGACGGTTGTGTGTAGGTTGTGTGTGTGTGTGTGTGTGTGTGTGTGTGTGTGTCTGTGTCTGTGTCTGTGTCTGTGTCTGTGTGTGTTTTCATTAAGGCTGAGGGATTTGAAGAAAGCCCTGAAAGTAGAGAGCAAGCCAGAAATGGAAATATTTATAAGAGAAACATTCCGGTTTGAGGGGCTTACAAAGTACAGAATTCCAAAAGAGGGGCTGTACCAAGGGCCTGATTAAGTCCAATGTGAATAGAGGAAGAAAAGGGAACAGTTTTCAGAAGGTCAGAGGGGAAATGAAGAGTTTGATTTGGGAGGGGAACATTTGAGGACTGTCACTGGTATTTGTAGTGAAATAAAAGGGTTGAGCAGAAGAAAAAGAAGATTGGGTTTTAGATGAATGATGTGTTGGGGGCTGGAGAGATGGCTAGGTAGTTAAGGGTGCATACAGCTCTTGCAGAGAACCCGAGTTCAATTCCCAGCACCCATAATGGGTGGCTCACAATGATCTGTAACTCCAACTTCAGAGGCTCAGACACCTCTGAGTCTGATTTAGTGTTAGCAGGTTGTAATACAGGTTAGATATGGTGCAGAGGGAAATAGTCGAGGTTGACTCCCAAGGGGAGATGGTTTTGTTTTAAGGGATTTGATTATGAAAAGGAACTGACCAGAAAGATCTGACAACTAGACAGAAACAAGAGGGCAAAGATTACTGTTTTTTAAACATTTTTATTCAGTTATAACCTAGAAGCAAGAAAACAAAAAGTGTACAGCATCGGCATCCAGATGAAGCGAAAGAACAGTCGGTAGCCCAGAGACGCAGACCCTTCCAGTGACTGCCCAGAGGCTAAACAGCACTCTGATTCTGACACTACACATTAGTTTTTATCCAAACTTAGACTTTATGAACATGAGAGTATACACACTTTCATACATGGGATTTATTTTTCTAAAATTGTGTGTGTGATTGAACTATGTGTCCGTGCAATGGTGGTTTGATGACTTGTACTGTTGTATAGGGTAATCTTCTGAGTACACCATAAATTTAATTGTCTCTCTTGCTGTTTGTAGGCATATGGGGGACCGTATGTACCACTGCCATGATCATTTTTATACATTTGGAAAACTAACATATTTATTTCTATTGCACATTTTTTTTCTTGGAAACAACATTAGGAACTATCTATTAGGTGAATCATGTTAATTTCTCCAACACAGCAGTGAGGTTGATATTGCTTTTATATGTCTCATATCTTAGTCTAGAATGGAAGAGAATATTTCATGATTGAATATAGTATTGAATTCAAATGTTTGAAAATAAAGCCGTTGGTTTTGGGGCTAGAACTAAGTGACAGAGTACTTCGTTAGCATGCATAGTGCCCTAAAGTCAATCCTCAGCACCTAAAAAAGTTATTGAGACTAAAATAAGTTACGTTTTTTTGACCATCTCAATCAATGCCCAGGCTGACTTTGAACTCACAGCAGTCCTGCCTCAGCCTCCCAAGTGCATGAACCACCGTGCCTATTTTTTAAAAAATATTTTATTTATTATTTTTATTTTATGTGTATTTATGTGTATTGCCTCTAAGTATGTAAGTATACCTGTGTCATGCAAAGACTGTGGAGGCTAGGAGACGGTGTCAGGTCCCTTGGAGCTGGAGTTACAGACAGTTGTTAGCAGCCATGTGAGTGCTGGTAATCAAACCTAGGTCTTCTGGAAGAACAGCAAATGTTCTTAACCCCTGAGCCATCTCTCTAGCCCATGACTATGTTTTTTTTTTTTTTTTTAATTCAGTGCTGGAGATCAAACCCAGGGCCTTGTGCGTACTCATATTTATAAAATTTTTAAACTGTTCTTGCAATGCATAATATCTAACATGTAAAGGACAAGAATGTGCAAATATACAGAACTAGATCCTGCATAGCTGCATGACCTAGTCAATTCACATTAGCCCAGGATTACACCTTTTTCTCTTCTAATTACAGAGATAGATGAAACACTTTCTGCTCAGTTTGTCTGAAGTTTATAAAGTTAGTGGTCATTTTGAAATTCGGCTAGTACAATTTTGACAACCTGGACTTTGAGAGAATTAGTTTCCAGAGAAAAGACATGACTCATATTGAAAGTACACAGAAAAGGTTTCTTTGGATCTACTAAAGTTGAGATTTGGGGAAAGTCTAATCATGCTTTGCCACGCACACTGGATTCTTCTTTCTTCTTCTGAGGCCAAAAGCATTTCATATCCCTGACCTTTAAAGATCTATTTTGACATGTTGGGTGTGAGCTTGCGATTAGGCAAGAAAAGTACACTCTGGAAAAGATAAAATTTGTTAGTAGATTTGAAAACTTTGAAATTTTGGAGAGTTTAAGGATACTGACTTGGTATTTCCCTCAAGTTTTGTAAAGTAGTATGCTTCCTAACTTTATCATAGTTCCAGGAATATTAGTTGAAACCAGCATCATTTTTCCAGCCTGCTAATCATTTTGTTGCTTTCTAGCGGCCCCTTACTTGAATCATGATTCATACAAATTATGAATTTTTTTCTGTTTTGCTATAGTGTTCAGGAGAAATGAAAGCATTTTGAAATTACAGCACAAAGGGAAAGGGAAGTAAGGAAAACCATAAACAGAACAGTGATGTTTTAGTAAAAGCATGTTAGTAAGAGACTTGACCGTGAATATTCTGAGATGGGTGACTGTGTTCATGATAAGAGCAAGGGAATATAAACTCTTGTTCTTATGTATACATACTTTATCTAAGCTTTGATTCATTCACGAGGTTTCTTGAGATGATTTCTAAACCCAGGTAACTGCACGTAAAGGGGATACTCCAACTGATCTGCTGCCTGTGCGAGCTGATCCCAGGTGAGCACAGCATCTTTTTGAAGAAGCCCATTCCATGAACTTTCTTCACCATAAAAAGTCACCTTATATGTGTATCTTATTCCTTTCTGTGGGCCTGAATCACTATAGCTTAGAGCTGGACACAGCAGGCATCATGGAGGTATCAACAGCTTACCTCAGGCTTGTTGGAGCAGACTTCTTTCTGCTCCAAAAGGCAGATGCATATGGAGCCAGCAAAAGTTCCAGTGCAGTGAAGACAAGCATTATCACCAGACCACTCTGCAAATAAGGACAAGCATGGTAGTACCTGACACAGCCAGCTTTTGAGTTGACTGAGGGGAGACTAGGGGATGAAGCCCTTAGCAAAGAAGGCCAGAAGGAACACAGATAGCAGCTTCATCCTCTTCTCTACCTTTTCTTTCAGACTTCTTAACAGGGGAGGGAAATAAGGAGCGCCTTTCATCTCAGAAGCCTGGCATCACACACAAGTACAGGGAAGAGTGGTCAGTCCTGCATCTCTGTTGCTTTTATAATTTTCTCTCTGTCTGTGGTGCTTTCTATTCATGATGTTTCTAAGTATGAGTTTATTATCTACTGGAGGCTCAGAACATTCCTTTGGTGTGAAATCTCATGTCTTTAATTTCGAAGCATTCTCGGGTAGTTCTTTTTGCCTTTCCCCCTCTCTCCCATACTCTCCTACTTGATCTCATGTTCAGCATATGTCCGATATCTTCATGCAATGTCAGCATCTGTCTTTTAACTTCTCATTTACATTTTTCCAGATTTCTACCTTACTTGTGTTCTGTGTGATTTCACCAGCTATCGAGTCTCTTCTTCACTGACTTTCTCATGTTTTAATTTCAAAGACTACAGTTTTCATTTCTAATCATGGTACTTCATTACCAAGTCTTCTTGTCTTCTACTTTTTCTTAAAATTTTGCTGTCCTGTTCTATTATTTTGTTTTCAATTACTTTTTCTACATTTTTAATCAGTTACAATATGTTTTCATTATAACCTTGCTCAAATGACTACATTATTGCAGCTCTTGGGCTACTAACTTGCATCTTTGTTTCATCTGTTGCTGCTTTCAGTTTTTTTTTCATGTTTCTCATATATTTATGATCATGTAGTTTAAGTGTGTGTGGCGGTAGTAGTGGGCATCTTTGATAGGCAAGAGTCTTATACATTGTAGTTATTGATATCACCTTAGACGGTTGCTTTAAGTTTGACTTTGCAAAGACATTAGGGATACCACAGATCCAGGAACAGTTTTTAAATTCCTTGATTTGAAGCACCTCTATTTTATGTGTAGTAATGAATTTAGATGCTTTGCATGGGGCTTCCTGAGCTGATGGCAGGGGTGTTGCGTGTAGTTTTCCTTGTCTTATTTTTAGAAATTGCATAAAGATTCAACCTCTATTCCTAATACCTTTGCAGGACACTGTGTGAACTCCTATGAGCCTGCCAACGCTGGGTGTTAAAATTTCTGGATCCCAGTCTCTACTACTTGTTCCTGTGAAGATTCTCCCAGTTTTCTGGCTTGATGATTTGGCTTTAGGCTCTCTCTTATCTTCTAGAAACTAAGACACCTGCCTTGATTTCTCCCGCCCCCCCAGCTCCCTTTCTTTTGCAAGACTTGAATATGTACTTTTAAATTTTTTGATCTAATACTTTTGTTCAGGTTGTTGCTAATGAGCAGCCCTTGGAGGTCAGCTTGGTCTGCTGTTTTTGCGACTTTCCTGATGTTACAGGAAGTCCCTTGGTTCCCATTGTATGGGAGATAATTTGGTGTACTAAAATTAGTCTTAATTAAAATAAGCGCCCAATATCCCAGTGGGAGGATACATCTCACACCCCATTGCTTCGTGTCCTGCCCAGTGACGTCCTGAGCATTCTCATACTCATTTTGAACCAGATGGGTCTCTGTTCTCTTTCAGGTCCTCAAGGTCTTGAATCAACCTCTTTGATCCAGTCACATAGTTAGGCTCATAGGGGGATGTGAGTCCAAAAACTTTCATACATTCCCTGAGACTGATGAGTCAGATGAAAGATATCGCCTTGGTCTCTCACTGCTCCTATTAGAAGTCATCAAGGAAGGTTTTCTCCTCAAAAGACCACAGTGCTATGGTCTTAACACTAACACTATAATCCTCCATTTAAGAATCAATTAAGTCAGGCTTATCACTATCGGCAGGTCGTGGCCATCAAATTTAGTGGAAGGGTGCCAAGGAAATGCTGCCCGGGGACACTGATGCTTCTTCTAGGAATAAATCTCTTGATTAACTGTCACCCATCTCCTCCCTTGTTGCCAGCATATCTTAATAGGTAAAGATTTCCAGCTCCAGGAAAAGGACCCAAACAATCACCTCAATTTCCAGTTCAATAAAAATAACAAGGACTATTTCTGCCTGTCGTGATTTAAGAAAGGCCACTGAAGCTGTAGGCTGTCCATTGTCTTTGTTTGCTCATCTTCTTTCCTCTTTTTGACATCTTTGATGTATCCCTCAAACCAAGAAATTTGCTAACAGGCCTCTTTCAAACATATTTTTTTCCCTGTCTACCCCAGACAGACCAACAGGATGAGAGACTGTTGAAAAAGCAGAATTTATGCAAAGAGAAGATACTGAGGTTTCACATGACAGGATATTTAGTCTGAAACTACTTACTGTTATGCCAACATCAGCCAGGAGACAGTTCTTTTCTTCATCTGTCAAATAGTAGTGCTCCGAAGAAAGCAGCAAAGATAGACTCTTCTTTCCTGAAGGGCTGTGTATAGAGGCAATATTCAGGGCTATGAGACTGTGAGTGAGGAGGAAGAGGCCAACTCCAGCAGCAACAAAACTTGCTGTGTTTGCCATCAGACAGCCCATTGCCTGGAAGAGAGATGCATAGAGTTCCCAGTGGGTGCTGCTTCACCACTGCCCACTAGACTATGATGGTGCCTCCCACTAGAGCCTGTGACCTCTTATTCTACAGATTGAGGCTAATTAGTCTTTGTATCACTCTGCACTCTATAGTTATCACATGAGATAGTTAGAAAATGTGCTGAATGGGAGCATGCATGAATAATTCCCATAGATGGGGAGTCTGGCCTCCTGGCTCTCCATGATCCTGAAGTCAAGGATGCTCAGCCCACTGCCAGGATCTCCACTGACTTCCCCAGCAGTCTTACACTGTTGCTTGTAAAACTCGTAGAATATAGCCTTTGGCATCCTCTAGAAAACCTAACCTGTATCTCTACCTTATAGAAAGGAGCAGCTTTAAGAATAGGTCAAAGCATGCTGGGCATGGTAGTGCACGCCTTTAGTCCCAGAACTTGGGAGGCAGAGACAGGTGATCTCTGTGAGTTTGAGTTTGAGGTCTGCTTGGTGTACATAATGAATAAAGAGTTCCAGGCTACAGGGAAACCCTGTCTCAAAAGACAAAAACCAAAAACCAAAAACAATAACAAAAAACCCCAAAACAACAAAACAACAAAAGAATAGGTGAAAGCAATCTGGAGAAGATTCCCTAGAGGGTGACTAGGGTGACTGAAGACAACATATACTTGCAGCTGACAAGCAGCTGACCAATGTACACCTTTTGTTTCCCTCAGTGAAAGGGTAAGAGTTAGTGGCTTGTGGGCTTAGTCTCTGTGGTTCTTGCTATGCCCACTGCCAAACGAAACAATGTTCAGACTATAGCCCTGGAAATACAGTAGAGGGAAAAACACATCCTGATTCCAGAAGACACAGGGTCTGGGTAGCCGTGGATGGGAACACACAAGTGGTATAGGAGCTGGCTTGCACTTTGTATGACTAAAACTGCAGTCCAAAGCCAGGAATTGCATGGGAGAGGGAGGTTTTGATGAGTTCTCAGCATTGGATGGAGGCAGAGTTCCAGGCTTGGAATCCACAAATGTAGACTCAGATCTAAGTTCTGTCATTAATCTCTTTGGGAGCGCGAACAAACAAGTTCTGTCTCCCCGAGAACTTCAGTTTTTCTTAGACGTGACTTCCCAAGAGCAGAAAGGAAAAACCTGGACTGTACTTTTGGCTCTGACAATGGCCAAACCCAAAGAACGTGTGCTCTCTAACCTGTTCTGAGCTTAATTTCTTTAAACTGTAAAATTGAGATTTTGAACTAGAAGAATGAGCTATGAGGTGCCTACCATTCCAAACAGTTGGCACTTAATGATCTTCATACTTACAAAAGATTTGGTTGGTATTTTTCCAGAGATAATTGAGAGTGACCCAGCAATGACAAACTGTTCAGGAAAGAGAGAAATGGTCAGTCCAGCTGTCCTGTATAACCCTGCCCACCGTGCTGCTTTCAATCCTGCAATAAAAAGGAATGTCTGAAAACTTTTAGGAAGGTAGTGCTGCAGGAATGGCATAGGTCCATCCTGATGGAGAGACCTAATATCTACCTCAGGATGGTTACACAAACTTTGAACAATAGGCAGATGCTCAGAGACGTTGGGTTTATTTTATTGGAAAACCGTTATTGCTGCAGAGGCCTAGAGACAAGATGCAATAATAAGTGCTTGGGGAATCTCAATGTTGAAAGGGAGCAGACTGCGGTAGATTAATGGCTTAAGACTTGAAAGAAAAGAGAGATAGGGTAAGCCAACAGAACATGTGGGAAAGGGCCTCAGTGCAGCAAGGTACAGAAAACTATGAGTCAAAGCTGTTAGTGCAGGTGGACTGCGTAGTACCTGCAGCTAAGGAAGTTGGAAGGATGGGGCCAGAGGTGAAGCCTTTGTTGTTACCCACCAGAAGCCAGTAATGATCCCAGTGCCATTAAGAGCCCAGCAAGAAGAGCGTTGAGAGTCTGGAAGCTGAAACTTTGGTTTTGTCTGTGGCTTGGGGGAAATCACAAAGAGGTCAAGCACAAGCGACACTAATTTCGCTAATAAAAGGTGGGCGCTACAGCCACTGGTTAGACAGAGAAAGAGAGGACAAATTGTACTTTTGGGATAAGGACCTTCTTGCAAGATGAGCCATTTTGCTCACACAGGAACCATGACCTCTACAGAAGTCTCTGTGTAACCCATCTTCCCAGAGTTTGCTCCCTTTTGTTATTTGAATAGGATTCTCTATGGAAAAGAAATGATCCTTGATAGCAGGTGTATGTGGGGCCTAGACTCTGAAAATAAGATTCAGTAGGGCTTTCGTTCATGAGCTATTAAATGATAAGACACTGAAAGAGCTTTGGAAATGTTTATGGTTACCTGTGAACACTGAAATACACCTTTGCTTCCTGTGAGTCTTATTACTGAGATAAATGTCTGCAAACCTGTGGCATCTGCTAGTGGTCTGATACTATTGCTAAATGGCCTTCTCACTCTCCATCTGATGAATGGATTACTCTTAAAATGGCTGGGAGGCTGGAGAGATGTCTCAGCAGTTAAGAGCACTGGCTGCTCTTGCAGAGGACCTGGGTTTGGTTCCCAGCACCCACATGGCAGCTAACAACCATCTATAACTTCAGTTCTTCTGACCTCCATGGGCACTGAACAACATGGGTGCACTTACCTACATGCAGGGTAATACCCTCATACACATAAAATAAAAATAATAAAAATAAAATATCTAAAATGGGTGGACTCCAATAGCCTCTTCAAAGTCCCAAAGAAGACTGTAAAAAATCTTCCACTAATATAACAGAATGCTGTAATGCCAAGTGAGAAATGTGTTGATGCCCAGCGTTGCCTTCCCCTCTTGCCTCCTCTCTCAGTCTGTCTTTTCCTGAGGGACTTACACAGTAGGACAAGTATGGCCACTCTGCTGCTCTTTATGAATGGGAGAGACACAGGATGGAGTAATAACAGGGAAAGTTGAGTTGGCCTTCTCTTGCCTCCTTTCCTCTTAAGGATCACATCATTCTATGATCACACACCCAGCAAAGATTTGTAAAGCATGTCTTCTTTTAGAAACCCCACTTTACTTACAAACAGGGCTCCTACAAACAGGAACCCGGGCATCATGGTGGCAGATGCTGCTGGGTTGAAGTGGGAGGAGTAGGAAGCAGAAATCAAAACAGCCCCCAAGCTTGCAATCGTCAGGCCAAATAGGATTTGGATTGTCTACAACAGACAAGACAGCTTTAACTAGATGAAAAGGATTATTTAAATACACACACTACAATTTGCAATGAGAGTAAAATGTGCTATGATTTCCTATATTAAAAAGGAAAAAAAAATAACCACAAGGAACTAGTAGGGCCTATTCTAAGAGGAAAATCTGGAATGTACCTATTTTATTTTCTGGAAGGATTATTAAACTAGCAACTCAGGAAGGCATCATTTGGACATTTAGTTTTGAAAAGCTATTTATTACTTTGAAAAGTCATTGGGCAAAGTTGTGTGGACTACAGCCCCAGTTAGGTGGCTAGAGAGAGCAAATTTACCAAGAGTGTTAATGAAGGCCTCAGCTCACCTGAGAGCAATGGGCCAAACATTTTCAGCCCTTTTATTATTTATTTTAAAAAATAATTTTGCTTTCCATAGCACCAGTTTTAATACTGGTCTATATTTGTTTCAGAATTTCTGCTTTCTAGTTAGTTAACATTCATCACATCATTTTCTACAGATGAGGAAAATAAAGAAGTTAAATTTTATAAAACTGCACAAGTGTCAAGAGCTGGATGCACATACAGTCACAGACACAAAGGTGTTGAAAACCACATTGGAGAAAATGACAGCCTCTTCAGTGAATGATGCTGGAAAACTGGAAATCTTCATGTCAGAGAAGGAAGCTAGATACCTATTTCTCACCTGTACAAGAATCAGTTCAAAATAGGCCACATATCGTAAGGTTCGATCTGAAGCTCTGAAACTGCTAGAGGAGAACATTGGGAAAACATCTCAAAACATAGACAAGGGCAAAGATTTTCTGAAAAAGGCTCCAGTAATTCATAGAATCACTGTAAGAATTGACAAATGAGATTGCATAGCATTAAAGGCTCTGCCTAGCAATGAAAAAACCACTACAATGAACAGACAGTCTATAGAATAGGAGAAAGTCCTTACCAACTATACATCTGATAAAGGATTAACGTCTACCATCTATGAAGAACTCCAAAACACAAACGCCAAAACAACCATGTCCTATCCAACCAATAAATAGGGTAATGAACTGAAGAAACAATTCTCAAAAGAAGAAATACAGATGTCCAGAAATATTTGAAAAGATTTCAATATCTTAATGACTAACCAGGGAAATATAAATCAAAGCCCATTTCATATTCCAGCTCATCCCATCAGACTTGATATCATCAAGTAAACAAATGACAAATGTTGAAGAGGATGTGGGACAAGAGGAACTTTTAAATGCTGCTGGGAATGTAAACCGGTACAGCCACTGTGGAAATCAGTATGGAGGTTCCTTAAAAACCTAAAAGTAGAGCTACCATATGATTTAGTTGTGCTGCTCCTGGGAATATCCCTGAAGGAGTCAGAGTCAGCACACCACATGTCTATGCTTACTGCTCCACTATCCAAAACCAAGGTGTGGAACCATGTGGATGCCCATGAACAGAGGGACAGAGAAAGAAAATGTGGCATATGCTTGCAATGGAATTTTACTCAACCAGGAAGAAGAATGAAGTAATGTTGTTCATAGGAAATGAGTAGAACTATAAGTATCATTATATTAAGAAAAATAAGATAGGCACTGAAAGAAAAATATCACATTTTTTTACCAATATGCAGAATCTAGATTTAAATGTGTGTGTGTGTGTGTGTGTGTGTGTGTGTGTGTGTATTCACAAAGAACGTGAAAATAAAAGAGGGTTTTTGAAGGGAGAGGAAGTGGTCTAAGAGGTGGGAGACAGGAGAAGGTGATGGGAGGGAAAATATAAATCCCAGGTTTTCTTTCATATGAAGAATCTGCAATAGTACATACAGACCACAACACCCACAACACCCACAACACCCACACACTCAAGACAAAAAGGCAGAAAGAGAACAATTTCAGAGAGGAAGACCAGCAAAAGGATGGGACAGGAATTAGAAGTGCAGTGGATAGGCAAATAATATGAAGATACATTTATACACACACATACACACACACACATGTATATATATTTGAAAAAAAATACATATGAAGATCTCATAATGACATGATTTTGGACATTAAATTTTGTTTAAAGTGACCAAATTTTTAAAAATAAATAAATGGTAGATATTTTATTCTTAGTAATTGGTAGGGTCGAGACTACAGGATCTTAGATGTGGGTAACTGAGGATGTGTGGTCTCTTGTTGACATTCTATTCTGGATTGCTTCAATTTCCTTAGTGTTCTAGAAAGTAGGATAATCAGTGGAGAATGACAGCAGGAAAGAGTCTTTAGAGATTTGAGAGGAAAGAAGAAGGTGTGAAATAGATCCTGGAGTTACAAGCCAGAGGTCAATCTTGGGTGTTGTTCATCAGGAGCCACAAATCTTATTTTTTAAGATAGGGCCTCTCGCTGGCCTGTTGCTTACCTATCAGGCTAGGCTGGTTAAACATGAGCCTCAGGGATCTGCCTGTTTCTGCCTCCCCAGTGCTGGGATTGCAAAATACCTCGTGAGAGAGAATGGAGCTGAGAACCCATCATAGCGGAAGGATCATCTATGTGAATACAGAAATAACCATGGCTCTGATAGAGAATTTGCCACAGTGATCTAAGGGCCGAGGTCTTGGTATGTGGGGAGTGCACATCTTTACCTAGTAAGACATGAGTTTATAAAGTATGAGTTTCCAGAATGAGAAGAAAACTAAAAGATTGACCTCAGTATCATGAGAAGTAAAGACAATGCTGACTCTATTTCAGTGACCTGGGGTGAGAGTTGAGGAAGGCATTACTCAGGACTAGAGTACTGCGAGTGCAACAGAGACACAGACCAGAGGATGAAGAGTATTGTGCTGTTAATTGGCCCTAAATTCCAGAAGACACATTTAGGGAGGTTCTGAAGGTAGGGATGAGTAGAAGTTGGGTCTTAATAAAAGGTATTCAGAACCACATGATGAGTAGGGCCCTAGATACGAGGGGTGGTGATATAGGATGCTTGCCTTATAAATATGTTTTCCTGTGGACAGGGAGAAAAATGTATGATGAGGCTTATGTAGATCGTGTCATCCTAAAATGTTTGAAAATAAGCTCAAGGTAAGATCTAATTTGATCGTACTGTGTAAATCCATATGATTAAATCAGAACTCTCTTGTAAGACAAATTAGAAGCAAATTATTTCTTAATTATATAGTGTTCCTGTGGAGAATAACTGGTGGTTTTAATGATTTTCAAGGAAAGTCCGAGGAGGGTATACTCTCTTGAAGTTCAGTTTTTATATTCTGACCAGTCTATAGCCAGCCAGAGACAAGTCAAGAGTGTTCCCAGACCAACTATAGCTCTGTAGTCTACACACATTCTTTTTCCAATACATATTTTTATGAAATCTTTGTGTATTTCATATATCTGAATCATACTTAGACCCCCTCCCATATCTGCACTCCTCATAACACCCCCTCCCCCAGCTTTCATGTAGTCTGTCATATATGTTAAGGCCTATTGAGTCAAGTTTGTGTGCCCAGATGTCCCTCAGTGTCAGTCCATCCACTGTAGCCTGGTCAGCCTATCTAGCATCACTTCGTTAAAGAAGATCAACTCTCCCTCACCCAGCAGTGATCAACTGCAATAGTTCCTTGGCTAAGGTTGAGGCTTCTTGCCCATTTCCCCAGTTATATGCTGAGTTTTTGTCTAGACACATTCTTAATATAGCTCCTTCATGTTCCCCTTGTAAAGAGATAGACTCACCCCAAGAACTGTGGCTTCTTGTGGCACACCATTCTGCAGGTCATCTTCTTTTCCCCAGATGTGTCAATCTTTCTCTCTTTTGTGGATAATGGTGTCCTTTGGAAGGAAGCCCTCAAAAATCCCCTTGATGCTGAGCTGCAGAAGCATGATGCTGGCGCTGCCGTAAGAGGCACTGAACTCAGTTCCTAAGGTTTGACTGACAGGAAAACAGGATGGGTGGTTGTTCTTTAGATGAGATTGGGCACATTCAGGCTGGCACAAGGGTAGGCTGTGGCTTGTTCTTTGCAAACTAAACCAGATGTGGGTTTCAGGGGAAGCAGTAGAGAGCTAGCATGCCTGTTGCCTGCTATTCATGATGAACAAGAAACATGCTTTTGGAGAAAATTGCCAACATTTTGAGGAGCCCCACAATTGTGAGGTTAATAATTCATAAGGAATTTGCTTTGCAGCCTTGAGTGTGTTCACCTCACTCTCCCTTCCTAAAACCTTTACTTTCAGTTTTCTTTCTTGACCTCCTGCACCTCTGTATCCCTTGTGGTACAATCCTGTATCACACCTCTCTGGACTGTACTTGCATGCTACACTGGCACTGTTCAGTCCCCCATCCTTTATTTGAGTGTGTTCACCTCACTCTCCCTTCCTAAAACCTTTACTTTCAGTTTTCTTTCTTGACCTCCTGCGCCTCTGTATCCCTTGTGGTACAATCCTGTATCACACCTCTCTGGACTCTACTTGCATGCTACACTGGCACTGTTCAGTCCCCCGTCCTTTAGTTCCTTTCCATTAAAATATCAAGGATCCAAGTGCAACCAGTTGTGACTAGTAATAATCAGATACATACAGATTAGAGATGCATGCACCAACATCTCAGTGTTATTAGCAAAAACAATGAGTCTTTC